TTGTACCCACCTGACACCATGTGTAAATATTGACTATATTCCCTCTGCTGTACTTTATATCCCTGTGACTATTTCGTAAATGCCAATTTGTGCTTCTCAGTCCCTTCACCTTTTTTTACCCAGTCCCCCAACCATCCTCCCCTCTGGCAATCATCAGTCTGTTCTTTGTATCTATCAGTTTCTTTCTGTTTTGTTTGTTTGTTTATTTTGTCCTTTAGATTCCACATATAAGTGAAAATCATACGGTATTTGTCTTTGTCTTTCACTTATTTCACTTAGCATAATACCGTCTAGTTCCATTCATGTTGTGGCAAATGGTAAGATTTCTTTTTTTTTTTATGGTCGAGTAATATTCCATCGTACATATGTACAGCATCTTCTTTATCCATTCGTCCTTTGATTGGAGTATTTAATCCATTTACATTTAAAGTAGTTATTGATAGGTATGTAGTTACTGCCATTTTATTGTTTTCAGATTTTTTTTGTAGTTCGCTGTTCCTTCCTTACTCTCTGCTCTCTTCTCTTGTATGTTGATGACTTTCTGTAGTGTTGTGTTTGAATTCCTTTCTCTTTATTTCTTGTATATCTCTTGTAGATTTTTGGTTTGTGGTTACCATGTGTTTCATATATACCAATCTATGTGTATAGAAGTCTATTTTAAGTTGATGGCCGCTAAAGTTCGAACACATTCTGAAATCACTACCATTTTGACTCCCTCTTCCACGTTTATATTTTTGTCATTATTTTTACTTTGTGTGTGAGTATGTGTCCCTTAATTTACTGTTGTAATTACACATGACCTTCCTACTTTTGCCTTTTAACCTTTGTACTAGCTTTAATGTTGTTTGATCCACTGATTTTATTATGTGTTTGCTTTTGTCAGTGAGAGGTGTGTTTTGTGTTTTTTTTTTACATTATTTTCTTATTCATATTTTTTATTTTTTTTCTTCCTCTTCTGAAAGAAGTCTCTTTAACAGTTCTTGTAATACTGGCTTGGTAGCGATAAACTCCTTCAGGTTTTTCTTGTCTGGGAAGTTTTTTATCTGTCCTTTGATTCTAAGTGATAGCCTTGCTGGGTAATCGTGGTTTAAGTCCTTGCTTTTCATCACTTTGAATATTTCTTGCTAATCCCTTCTAGCCTGCAGAGTTTCTGTTGAGAAATCCAGCTTATGGGAGCCCCCTTGTAGGTAACTAACTGCTTTTCTCTTGCTGCTTTTAAGATTCTCTCTTTGTCTCTAAACTTTGGCATTTTAATTAAGCTGTGTCCTGGCATGGGCCTCTTCAGGTTCATCTTGTTTGGGACTCTCTGCACTTCCCGGACTTGTGTGTCTTATTTCCTTTGCCAGGTTAGGGAAGTGTTCTATCATTTCTTCCAAATGGGTTTTCAACCCCTAGCACTCTCTTTTCTCCTTTTGGTACCCCCATGACGTGAATGTTGTTTTGCTTGATGTTGTCCTAGAGGCCCCTTAGACTATCCTCATTGTTTTGGATTTTTTTTTTCTTTTTTTTTCTGTTCCGATTGGATCTTTTCTGCTACCTAGTTATCCAAGTAGCTGAACCAACCGACCCTCTGCTTTATCTAGTCTGATGCTGACACCACATAACGTAGTCTTCATCTCAGTTACTTTATCCTTCATTTCTGAATGGTTACTTTTGTTTCCTGTCTATTTGTTAAAGTTCTCACTGAGATCATCTGTTCTTCCCCTGCGTTCATTGAGCATCCTTATAACCAGTGTCTTGAACTCTGCATCTGGTAGATTGCTTGCCTCCATTTAGTTTAGTTTTTGGTGTTTTTTTTTTTTTTAGTTTTGTCCTGTTCTTTTATTTGGGACATTTTTGTTTTTTTGGGTTTTTTTTGGTCTCATTTTGCTGTCTCCCTGGGTTTGTTTCTATGTATTAGGTGGAGTTACTACATCTCCCGGCCTTCGCAGAGTGGCCTGATGTAGCAGGTGTCCTGTGGGGCCCAGTGGTACAATCTCCCTATTTACCTGAGCTGGGTGCTCCAGGGTTTTCCCCTGTGTCAGTTGTGTGTACCCTTCTCTTGTAGTTGAGCCTTGATTGCTGTTGGCACTTCAGTGGGTAGGATTGACCCTCTGGCTGACTGGCTATGAGGACTGACCGTGACTGTAGTGGACAAACTGTTGGGGAGGTTGACCCCACAGAGTGGGATTTACTTTAGTGGGGTTCTGGTGCCCACTGAGTCCACCCTTTGGATGTGTCATTTGTGGCACTAATTGGGTAGAGCTCTGGTGTGGTCTGAAGCTGACCACCAGGTGTGCTGGTTCTGGAGCGGGAGAAGCTCTCATGCAAGCTAAGGTCAGGCACTGCCTCATCTGGCCTGGGGCCACCTGGTAAGGAGAAGGGCACACTTCGATCCTGGGAAATGGAAGCCTTGGGGGTGGGATTTTGTTCCTGAATACCTTATTAGGAAGATTCATCTCATTTAGCCTCTCTTTGCCCTGAAAGCTATGGAACTCAAGGAATATGGCCCAGCTATGCCAAAGAACTTGATGGAGAATATTTTTGAAGGTGAATGAAGTGATTTAAATGTCAGCATATATGTAAAGTATTTTGTAAGGCACTGAACACTATAGGGGTGATTTTGCTGGTTGATAAGTTTACTTATGGATCCAGAAGCATTCAGAACTTATTGCTTATACTCAAATTAAATTTCCTTTATAGGTGCCAATTTTGTTAATACTTTTTCAATTATACCTTTGTGGCGTCACAAAGAAAGCTGCCAGAGCTCCTTAATTATTATGTAGCCTTTTCTTTCTTTGTGAGGGGGGAAAATGTACTGTTCAGATGTCCCTGTCAAGGTTCCCCTGAATTACAAGGCTATGTACTTGAACCTCATTGGAGATTTAGAAGAAAACATTCTTTTTATACAGGAGTCCTTACTTGAAGTAAGTATAAATGACTTATTTATTTATTTTTTCCTGTGTAATGTTTGGTGGCAGTCTTTTCCCTTATAGCGGTGAGATATAATTATAGACAAAACAGGCTGGAGTATTTTAAAAGACGTCATAGATGTTTTTTTCCTTAGTAAATTTTGTGTGTTTGTAAAATCACTTTGTTGCCTTTCACTTGAGGCTTGCATGTACTATACTAATATGTTGATGATGTTCTGTTTTGTTTCTAGTGTCGTTCCTTTCGTGTTTCTTATTCTTTATATCTTTGGGTCAACTTTGATATGGCTAACTCTCAAAATCATTTTCCAGTTACCCTACATGAGCAGGTGGTCAATAAATCAGGGCCTGACTTGTTTATATTAGTATCAAATAAATTTTGAGTCGAGATAACTTTTCACTGAATAGAATATTTTTTTCTTGTTTCATTTGTGAAGAACCAAGTGGATTGAGGAAAAATGTTTTTTGTTTTTTTTAAAAAATCACCCAGTGAATATTAGAAATATATATAAGGCAGTGAGGAAGCATCCCCCCTTCCCACCTCACATACCTATTTTCCATTCCCAAATTTGACTTCACCAAAACTAAGTTAACAATTGGAGCATACCTTTCAGACCTTTCATAAAAGATTTTTATTTAACTTTTGCCATATGTGTTTTGTTTATGGAAGTTTTTTTATTATAAATATAATACATGGATATGTTTTATAGCTACATTTTGTTTTTATTATAATGATAACGTGGGGTGAAAAATCTATCATAGACTAAGAAGTGCCTCATTTTCTTCCTCCAGGGTTTTACACAGATTATTTAATATCTTTAAAATTCACTCATTGCATAATTTTATGGGATTGATTTATGTACTGTGGAGGGGCTCAGTCAACTTGTTAATTTAACCAGTGCTAATTTGAAAGAGAAGTCATTTTAAACAGTCTTCCGACTATCTAGTAACATATTTTAACCTGTTACAGTTACTTTTGGGATTTGATATCATAATGGTATTTAAGGAAAAACATTTACTGATATTAAAATTCAATAAATTAGACCATTCATCTCTTTATCACAGTTTATCTTGAAACGTGAGTGAATTTATTCTATTTCTAGTTTTTATAGTCAGAAGGCTAACTTTGTGAGTTTTCTAGAAAAAATGTTGGCGAGTGAAGTCATGCTTTTATTGTCAATTTTCGAGTTATGATTTTGAGAGCTCTAACTATGGAAAACTGGATTTTACAGCTCTCTCTTTTACAACAGTTGAGTATTGTGTATCTTCTCATCATTGGAATTAGACGGCTGTCCACTAGTGAGTCACTCCTCAAGAGGTTTCTGTCGCATTACTAGACCTTTTGAGGGCTCCTAGGCCACCTGCTTCTTCTGCTGTTCTCACCACCTGGCCAAAGCGGTTCTGGCTGTTTGGATTCCCTGGGGGAGGTCTGGTTATCAAGTCCCCAAGGGGTGGTTTCTGGTAGAACAGGATTCTGAGACTCACCTCCACTCTGTGATAACATAATACCGTGATTGTGCCATTAATACCACTTGCTATGTTTCCAGAAAGGAGTTTTTATTTATTTATTTATTTATTTTAAATAAATCTCATATATCTAGCCTCTTTTAAAAAAATATGTTTTTGTTGATTTTTGAGAGGGGGGAAGGAGAGGGAGAAAGAGAGAGAGAGAAACATCGGTCGGCTGCCTCCTGCATGCCCCCTACTGATGATGGAACCTGAGACCTAGGTATGTGCCCTGACTGGGAATCGCACCAGTGACCACCTTTTGCTGCATGGGATGGCACTCAACCAACGGTGCACTGCCCAGGGCGGGAAAGAAGTTTTTAAATTCTAATGTAATGTATGTGTATTTAAATCCAAGACCTTTGTAGAAAAAAAATAAAGCCTTCTAATATAAATCCTGAAATTATCTATTCCCCTTTCGGCAAGTGAAATGATGAACATAATTGGTGTGGAATCGAAGACATTTATTAAATGTAGAAATTAGGAACTTCTTTGCTACAGCTCATTACTCATTCCAAGGCAGCTTTGGTTTGGCACCTTGTCTCTTAAGTCCATGTGCTATTGACGCTGACTTTCCTGTCTCAGCTGCAGCAGCTCCTCACAGACCTGCCTCATGATATGCTGGACGATGACCTGTCCTCCCCGGAGCTCCCCTATTTGGACTGCAGTGAGGACGATGCAGAGGGAGGGTAAGGAAAGAATCCCTTTCATTTGAGTATTACAATTCTGTAAACGTCCGCCTTTTGATTCTCTGCAGGTAATAATAATACATGTGGTTATAAAATTGTGGACTAATTCTCAAACTTGTAGGTGAAGGTTGGAGGGAAAACATGTTAAAAATCTCAGGGTTCTTTGTGATATTTGTGTCCAAATAAATGACAGGCTCTAAATCTAAAGTGTTGATTTTTCTCAAGACCTCATGCTTCCGAGCCATTGGAGATGAACTGGAATGACCATCAGGTGCTGCCTAAACCTAAAGGTGCAAATGTGAGTATCTGGTGTGATAATGATTTTGATGAGGGTGGGACTAGATATTAGCACTCCTGCCTTACTCTTGTTATCTAATAGGACTATAATGAGATTCGGGATATATATATTGGAGAGAAAATTGGCAATGGCTGGGAAGAGAGTCAAAGTAAGACTGAAGGCCAGCATCCTGGGTACCATCCCGAAGAAGGTGGAGATGAAGGCGGAAGGTGCTATAGTCCTCCGACTAAATTTGAACAGACTGATTTATATCACCTTCCTGAAGACTTCAGGCCATTTACCAATGGTCAGAAGCAGGAATTTAATAACCAACCAGACAATGTAATTAAATTTTCAGATCCTCAAAGGAATCGTTTTCAGGTATCGTAAGAACTTGACTTTCAAGAATTTGCTTATATGTGTGCATTTAAGAAATGTATGTAAGTGCAACGGTAAGATTTACTTTAATTATAAAAATTTCTGAGAATACATTTATTCAGGCTCATGCTGAAGTAGTCATGCTGTTTCCTGTTTATAATCCAATGAAATCATGATCTTAAGTCAGAATTATAAAACAGAGGCTTTATGGAGACAGCTAGTTGCACATTAAAAGTTAAGTTTGTCAAAGAATAACCTTCCTCATTTACTGCTGCTTCTGGCTTCTACCACTTCACTATGCTTCAGTGAGAAGCTATGTTCAGGTATCTTGATAGAGTTTTAAAGCAGTAAATCTATGTAGACAACATCGTTTAGTTGCTGTGATTTTCCAGTTCACCACACTTATAACAAATTTGAAGTCAAACACTTCAAAGCTGGCATCTGTTTTGTGGTGCTATGGCAGTGGACAGAATGACAGGAAAGAAACACTCCGCCTCCCACCCCCTCCCCCGCCGGGCAGAGTTTAATGAAGCAAGACCTTAGGATACAGTTAGCTGTTTCTTAGATTTTTTTAATGACAATGAATGCCTCATTTTGCCAATAGCTATTCCGTGTCACCCAATGAGAGGATAACTTTTTCTTTTCTTTTAAGGTGGTCATTTTCAACCTGTTCCCTCCTGAGAGAGAGAGAGAGAGAGAGACATCGACCTGTTCCCTCCCGCGTGCGCCCCGACTGGGATTGAACTCGCAGCCTTTTGGTTTATGGGAAGATGCTCCAACCACCTGAGCCACCACCCAGCCAGGGCAAATCATTCTGAAGAATTTCTATACAATCTTACTGAAATTCTTGAGTGTTATCTGGGGACTTCGCCCATTAAATGCTCAAAAGTACAATTAAGATGTGAGAAATTATATTTTTCAGACTTTCAGTAGTGTTAAATAACAATGTTATTTTAAAGCAAAGATGTATGTATAAATTTTGTAATTGTACCACAATTAAGTTCCGTAACAAAATTAAGATGTCTGAGTCAGATAATTTTTGAGGAAAGGCCAAATCCTAATTGTCAGTTTCATTTATCATCTTTTAATAGCAATTTGGTACATCACAGGGTCCCAGTTGTCAAGTGTTGGAACCATATACAGTGACATATAAACCTTACCAACCTCCTGCTCAGAACGACTTACCAACCCAGGAGATAGCAGAAGGTGACACGTTTGAAGGCCTGCAACAACAATTTTTAGGAGCTAATGAAAGTATGTATCAACTTTGTTTGTATTTTTAATAACATGATTGGAGAATTTTAAATACTTTAAGCATGTTCAAGAATTACTGTTTTTTAAAGTATGATAATTGAATTGTGGTTGGTTTTTAAAAAGAACCCTTAATGTTGGAGATACATCCTGAAGTGTTTATGAATAAACTGATATGAAGTCTAGGATTTACTTCAAATAATACAGAGTTGGGGGGTAATGTTGGGTGGGGATATACATAAAGCAGGACTGGTTGTGAGTTCATAATTGTTGAGTCTGGGTGATGAGTTCATGGGATTCATTGTACTCTTTTTTTCTACCTTATATATTTGAAATTTTCCATAATAGAAAACTAAAGTAAAATTTTCTCAACTGTACATTTGAGTCATTGTAGTTGGTTAAGACTTGCCAGTAGCTTTATATTTTTCTAACTGAAGTCTAATTTGGAAAATGAAATATAGTATTCCCTTTAATCCTAAATTTTCCAATATATAGAAATGTAATTTAGTAAATCAGCCATTGTCATCTTAATTTTCCTTTTGATATTTAGAGTTTTAGTGTAATAATTAGACAACTCTGATATAAATTACATTATGTTCAGAATTTAAACTGGATTCCAATCTCAGGTTTAGTCATGTGACTTTTTTTTGGTAAGTGTATAAATATGAGAATGAGAAAAGTAGCTACAAGAGCATTTTAAGGAGATAAAACACTCAAATCCAAAAATCAAAACTTGTACTCTGACTGACCTGAATTGGTGTTTTCATACATCCAACTTTCACTGTCTACTCTCTGGCATGTGAAATAACTTGTAATTATTGTGCATGTTGAAGAACCAGAGTGATTCTAGGGTGCCACAGCAAGTTTTTTCTTTGTTTGTTTCACACTTAAGAAGTGGGGTGGGGGTGCGGGGGGAGTCCAATTGGATAATCTAGATGCCCTGGGCTACGCCACAGAGAAAACTGGACTCACCTCTAACCTCACCCCTCCGCCTCCATCACACCCTCGGGCTACAGACTCCCGGCCTCATGGAGGCAAAGCAAATAGGCAGGTGGCCTCTTTGTTTCTCAGTTGCTGTGGAGCGAAGAGCTGAGGGAGTGGACAGGGCCGGGGCGGAGCTGGTGTGCGGCTGCCAACGAGCACCACATGGCCCGAGTCTTGGTGTTGACTTAGCTCCCGCCTTCAGTAGGTCACTCTGCATATATAACCTTTTGTCACTTTACTAATCTGCATTTTGTCAAGTTGAGTTATTTTTTTGTTTAAGTCAGTTATCCATTTGCCTAAATTTGACATTTGGAAGCTAGTTGAGTAACTTGGTGGCAGTGCCAGATTTGGTGATTACGGCCTCTTAGCAACAGTTTAAAAAAATGCCTTTGAGGAGAGGCGTGGCTTGTGCACTCTGTTTGTCCCTGGGCTGGCTCTCTTCTAAGGCCAGAGGAGTTTGACTTGTAACAAAATTTTCAGTCTTCAGGTTTTTGTGTTTTAACCATTTATCTTTTTAAAAAGAGGCCTGCTTTGCTTGCTAGCCTGCAGGGGCACTGGTCTAGTAGAAAATGAATCTTTATCATTGTGGTTGAAGCATTTTCTTTCTCCTGTGAATCACTTTCTCCCCACGCCCCCCTGTGGCCCCTGTGGCCCACTCATTTTTAAGTGGCCCCTGTGACTTGAATCATTTATGAAAGAAGACCTCAATATCCTTTATTAATCTATTCATTACTTTAGTAATTCAGCAGTATGTGCCAGCATAAATATGAATACAATGTAATCCCCACTCCTGCTTATAATAAAATATTTTGAGAAGGCTATCTAGAATATTTTTTAAAAAATGGTGTTATAGAAATTGATACACTTATTTTTCAATCTTATGAGATACAAGATTATAGAACTCTATTCCACTGTACTTGGTGTCAACGTAAGAAACATCCAAACCTGTAGAGAACTGTTACGAATTTATTTGAGCCAAACTGATGTCTTATGCTGGGGAGCATAGGTTGTCATATGCTCCGGAGAATGGCAGTTTTGCAGCTTATTTTACACATTAGAGTCAAAGGAGAAGATTTAAGGAAGGTGCATGAAATCCGTTGGTGGTAGATTAAGGGGGTGGGAGAAAGCATAGCAGGAAAATCGCTAGGATTGGATTCGAAGCAAAATGGAGAAACTCATACTTATACATTGGTAGGTACAGGATAGTTCACATTTACACACAGAGAGGTGACATGCGGGGAGCAAGCTAACAATGCGGGCTTCTGTGGTCTTGTGCTCCGGTGCCTGCAGTTGTGCCTTCGAGGGGTAGGAAAAGAAAATTACTCTGAATTCAAAGGTATGTTGCCCTAGATGCATAAGAACAGTGGACAGGGCTCCCCTAAGGTAAAGGTTGACCTTTGCTATTGATGCTGTATCCCCGGGTCCTGGCTTCCCGCTGCGACCGGCCCAGTTGGGAATTTGTGACCAGATCATTCTGTGTGGTTGCTTTGGTCACAGAGCTTGTCAAGCCTGCCATGTGTTCCTCTGAGCTTGTCAGGTTTATCACATAGCCCCTTTTTCATTCACATTGGTATATATTTATTTTTAATCAGCCAAAATGGTCGTGATGAGGGGTTATACTCTAAGTAGTGATTTTTCAGACTTTCCTGGCAGAGACCACAGTAAGAAATACATTTGTACATTGTGATGCGGCTTACAACATTTATCTATATAAATAAGTGTGTGTCTAAAACAGAAGTTCCACAAAATAATATTCATTTGTACTACATGATGCACTCTGATACGTTCTATTTTACTCTTTCTTGGTTTTTTAAGAAATGCTAGTCACAGTCCACTGAATTGTTTTCATGATACGCTGACGAGTTATATCCACAGTTTGAAAAACACTGCCATAAATGACCACGGATTTATATTTTCATATGCTTTTATCTAATAAGTTGTCTTTCATTCCAAATCAGGCTCTCCAGAAAATATGCAGATTATTCAACTTCAGGTTCTTAACAAAGCAAAAGAGAGACAACTAGACAATTTAGTTGAAAAGTTAAATGAAAGTGAGCGTCAAGTCAGGTACCTGAATCACCAGCTTCTGATAACCAAAGGTAAGACAACCGCTGTCATTTATGAGGTGCGCTAGAGCTATGTCTTCTTTCCAGGAACCTCATTTCTAATATGAAGTTGAGGGAGTTGAGGTACTTGGTCAGAGGGGTCTTAGTGAGTCAGTCAGAAGGAAACAAATCCCAGGACTTTTGATACCTTTCCTTGGATTACTTTTCTGCAAAATGTACTATTTTGAGGTCCTCATTGTCTCCATTTTCCTCCTCTCGGTTAGGCTGTTAGAATAAATGAATATTATTTAACTTTGCTGATAGCGTCCTGTCCTAAAAAGTTGTTGATTAGTTTATCTTGGATGAAGTATTACAATTCCCAGAGAGACTTGTGCTTAGTTTGCAAGACATTTTTGGAGCCTACAAATTAGCATACTGTTTTAATCCAAGGGAGAGTTAGTGACCCGGGCCTCCTTTCGGTGGGCCCGGGAGAAAATGGAGCAGACGCGGGGGAAGCGCGCAGAGTACATACAGAGCCACATTATATTGCTCACTCTTCGTGCCTTCTGTAGTTTTGGTCAGCGTTGCACTTTCACTTACAGAATAATTTTGTGACTGCACTCCAGCTCATTTCAGACTTAGTGGATGGTGATGAAAGGTGTCTTTCTGTAATGACCATAAAATTTATTTTGAGAGAAGAACTTGTGGGCTATGATATAAAGTATGTGGGAAGAATTTAAGATTAGGTGAGTTTAAGCATTCATTGCAAGTATGTATAGAAAGTAATTAGTCCTCAGATTCCTTTTTTGACTAACGGGTTTGTCACATCTGTGCAGCTTCTCAAGTGAACAGAGCTGAAGTCATTGTTAGGAAATGTTTGGGTCCCTGAAGGGATACAATCAGATTTTTGAAGCACATGGCTCTGGTTCTCTAAATTTTTTTGGTGTCACTCATTTTTTTTTGGAACTTATTTTCTCTAGGTCAGCTAAAGTTCACGGTCCGAGTCAAGTTGAATGCAACAACGTTTATATGTGATATTCGATAGAGATTGTGACAATTGGGGTCCCTTTGTAATAACATATTATTTCTATAAACATTTTGAATGTTCTAGATGAAAAGGACGGTTTGACCCTCAGCCTTCGAGAGTCACAGAAACTCTTTCAGAATGGGAAAGAAAGAGAGATACAGCTTGAAGCACAAATAAAAGCACTGGAGACCCAAATACAAGCATTAAAAGTCAACGAAGAACAGGTAAATATTTTATCTTAACCATTTATAACTGGAAACTGTAGTTACTTAACTTGTGGTATGGTCGGACTAAATATAGAACTTTGAGGCTTGTACCTTCTTCCTCCATAAGCTGGCTATTCCTTCCCTTACTTGGAGGAAGGATGCTCCCACCCACCCCGTCATCTTCACACCAGACATCTGGACAAGGCCTCAGCTTCTCTGCTCCCCTTCACCTACTACATTCTGTTGAGTCTCCTCTGTTCTGTTCACAAGTCCTTAATTTGGGACTTTATCATCAATTGTGAAAGTCTCTTACTAGTCTCTGTTCTTTATCCCTTCTCCAGGTTCTCTCTTACGGCCATCTGGGTAAGCTTTCTAAAATGCAGTTCCGATTATGTCTTTCCCGTGCTCAAAGCTTTTCAGTGACCCTACTTTACCTGTTGGATGAAGTATGGCATCAAGATGGCCATCTGATCCTTGCCTATCTCTTCTCTTACTCTCCCCACACTCAAGTCTGTCTGTTGTTTTATGTACTTATAGGTGCACAGAATTTTCCACGGCATACCGCTATTTGATTAGCAAGCCCTGCTCGTGGGTTTTCTTTTCCCGGGTCTCCCCTGCTTTCTTCCTCAAACCAACACCAAGCAATTCTCAGACACCAGCCAGGTGTCCAAGGGTTCATCAGTTCTGACACTGTCTACATCGACTTCAGACGCCAGTTGTAATCTGAGGTTGTTACCTATCCTTCTGACTGTCTGGCTATAAATGAGAGGTTCCCTTGACTCACTCCTTATTAAAGGATGTAACTCAGGAACAGCCAGATGGCAGAGATGCATGGAGCAGGGTGTGGGGAAAGGATGTGGAGCTTCCATGCCCTCTTGAGTGCTCCACTCTCCCTGCATCTCCATGTGTTCACCAACCCAGAAGCTCTCTGAGACTGGTCCTTTTGGTTTTTATGGAGGCTTCATTGCACAGCCTGGTTGGTTAAATCTTTGGCCACCAATGATTAATTCAGCCTCTAGCCCCTCTCCCCTCCCCCGAGGTCAAGGGATGGAACTGAAAGTTCCAACCCTCTAATCATATGGTTGGCTCCATTGGCAACCAGCCCTCATCCTTAGGTGAAGTCAGCCTCAATCACATAACAAAAGACACATTTTTATCACTTTGAACACTTAGGAAGTTCCTAGGGTTTCAGGAGCTGTGAGTCAGAGACTGCAGATGAAGACCAAATATATTGGTCACTTGTATGACCAAATATATATTTCTTAGAAATCACAATATCACGGTAGATTATTAGCATTTAAAAAATTTTGAAAACTGATAAATTTATTAGATTAAAAAGTTGAATTGCTTTTATGTAGTAAAAGCTTATAACTGTAATCTTCTGAGTTAGAAACTGCATTTATAAAAAATAAAGTAGCATAAGTAGAAGAATAAAATAAAAGAAACTAACAGAATCACCAAGTATTTTGGTTTTCTATTGCTGCTATAACAGATTACCACAAATTTAGTGGTTTAAAACAACACAGATTATTATTTTACAGCCAGAGGTCAGAAGTCTGACACTTTACACTAAAGAAGTGTAACTTTAGCCCAGGGTCTCACTGGGCTGAAGTTATGGTATGAACAGGGCTGTGTTGCTTTTTGGAGGCTCTGTGGTGTTAGCAGTGGGGAGATCTCCATGTCCTCAGCAGTTACTGGGGAAGTGGGTTTCTTGGGGTGCCACTGGGATAAGAATTTCCGGAGGCCCCCATGGAAAGATGAGATATTGTAGAAAGTATTATTTCTCTGGAATCACACCCCTGAGTTTCTAAGGTCCCATTTCCCTCTGTCCTATCATAGAAGAAGTGTAGCTGTGGCTTCAGTAGGGCTAGAATTAAAGCCATTGCCCAGAGTTTTCGCTCCATGTCGGAGCAGTGTCCAGTCCAGCATTCAGCTGTCTTAGTTAGCATTCCCAGTTGCAGCCCATCAGTCCATTGCATGTGGGGGCCGCAGGGCCACATGGCCATGGAGGGAACACAGGATTTTTGAGTCAAAGTTCGTAAAGTAAGAAGTGTAACCGTGGCTGTCCTGTGTATATTTGCTAGATGATTAAGAAGTCCAGGACAATGGAAATGGCTCTGGAAAGCCTGAAGCAGCAGCTGGTGGACCTCCATCACTCCGAATCCCTTCAGCGCGCCCGGGAGCAGCACGAGAGTGTGGTTGTGGGGCTCACCAACAAGTACGAGGGGCAGGTGGTGTCCTTGCAAAACAAATTGGACGCTACGGTGACTGCTCTTCAGGAACAGGTTGGGATGATTTCAAATGAGCAATGATTATCAGTAAGCAAATCTGGTTCTGTCTTGTAACGGACATTTTGTGGTTCTTCATATAGAAGTTTTGGATGTTGTAATAGATTTTCAATTGTAAGTAAAACTTGAAAGGCAAAGATTTTTATCTATGACTGCACCCTGAATCAGACATAATTTTGGAAACCCTTCCTCTTGTGGGATGGATTCTCACAGGACTAGTCCTTTACTTAGAGTACTTATACATATTGTGCATATTGTCCTAGAATAAATCCAGACTGAAGGGAGGGAGATGGCATGAACTTGAGAGGTTGTCCTGGGAGCTTAACCACTAGGAAGCTTTTCTTGGGTCTCCCAGAGTTTGGTAAGAAACCCATCACTAAGACTGTATAGAAATGGTTCTTGAGAGACGAGTTCATTTTGAGAATAGCATAATAAAATAGGGGAGGTAGTCTGATCTAAAATTATTGAGATTTGAAACTCGAGCATATTTCACAGTTTTCATTGCTTTTGCCCCAAAGGAAATAAAATGCTGTAAGCTGATGGTGAGTCAGGTGGTGGGTCTGCCTGGGCTCTAAAGTGCCAGGTAATCATTTCAGTGAACAAAACTTCAGAGTGCATTTTTCTTAATGCAGTTTCAGAATTAATTTAACCCAAAGGAAGAGAAGAAGAAAAATAAGATGTGAGCGTACAGAAAATACCACTACACTTAAAATTCATCCTGATTTGGGTTCTTATTTCTTATTTATATAGTTGACTCTAAAGTTTTCCATTATTTAGGTAGAGCTATGTAAGATGCACTATTGGCAATAATAATTGTTTGTATACCATTTTATTTTATTTTTAGGTGTACTTATATGAGTTTTTATTAGATTTATTTTCCTAAGTATGTTTTTATTCCTTTTATATAGAAAATTATTGTGAATTTGATCAGTGTGGAGTATATCTAGGAGTGGGGAAAGACAATGGCTATGCCAAATTATTGCAAATGTACTTTATATAGTATTTAAACAAATGGAATTTGAGATATAGTTTTATTAACTTTGGCAGTGTGTGGATAATAGCATTAAAGTTAGTTAGACTGGGAGAATCGTCCTCCTTGGATGACGAGAGGAGTGGAATCTGGTGGCTTTCCATCCTGGGTTACTTGAGGGTCTCTCGGGTCTCTGCTGACTTAGACACAGTTACAGAGAGGGCTGGGAGGAAGTCCTGGTGGGTTCAACGCCTGAGCCCAGTCCATTCTGTATTCTCAGTCTTTGCTCTGTGCTGACTGGGCTTCAGACCCCTGAACCATACATTAAAGGTGTTGATCAAGGTTTTTTTTTACCACAGTTACGTTCTGTGACCATTTTTTTTTTTTTTTAAACAGAGCTTAGCACTGATGTAGGCCTCTGCATGTAATTGCACAACTACTTTGCAAAGTGCTGATTCCAAAGTGCTTAACATTTTTTCTTCCTGGGAGTGTTTCTTATGGTGTCCCTTTTGTGCTTTCCATTTGATCTCAGTTGCTTCAGTAGTACTTTTAATGAAAGGTCAATCCATAATTTCAGAATAGAAATTGACATTCCTGATCCTAGAGGTGCTGTAAAAATCAACCAGGAGCTAGGGAGATGCCTGCCTGTAATCAGAAAAATGCATGAGTGTGTTCTACAGTGTGTTCTTAGATTTTCTTACATAACCAGTAGCCATACATGCTTACCCCATTTTACCCCTTACCCTCCTTTTCTTTATAAAAGTTATTAAAGAGGGAGGTGTAAATTATTTTCCTTTTGTGTAAACATATTCCCACTACACTTTATTTAGCAGATTACAAAGAAAAGTAAAATAAGTCTTGGAAAGTAGTAGCAAGGTACAAGTAACTGGGTAATTCAGTAGTTGAACTTGGGTACGTTTGCCAATGTCTAGGTTCTGAGTGGCCCTCATGTAGTTACACATAACTGTGTACTCGTGGACTATGTATTTGACGAACACAGTGTTAACAGACTAGATGTTCAATGCAGTAAGTGTTTCTGGTTAGAAAGATCTTTACCCTGGCCTCTTCCAAGGCAGCCATGGCTAGGCTACAGGGGATTGATGAGTCCTCTGAAACTGTGGGGATGAGTTTCTTTGGGGTGTGAGTATATGCAGTTTTTTTTAGAAAACCCGTGAGCTTCTTCAGATTTTCTCCCTTGCAGAAGGTTGAAAATCACTGCTTTCTGAAAAGCACATTCTTGGCGGGAAAGGACTGTGGTTGTAGACTAATTATATTATTTCATCTGTTCGGCAAACCTTTATTGAACAACAGCTAAACATCATGATGTAAACAGGCTTGTATATTTAATTACATTTTGAAAGACAAAATTCAACACAGGTACTGCCTAATTTAGCAATCCATGATACAGTTGGTTTTTTCCCCCCAATGTTTATGTAACTAGTACATTTTGAAAAATATATGGCTTGTGAAATTATATTATTAATTTAGTATTTTCCTTCAGCCACCAGCTTTTCAGGGTCAGAGGGACTGTACACATTCACAGCATATTGTAACAGTTCTTTTTACTTTGGCTGAGTTTCTCTCAGGCTCTTCAGTGTGACAGGGAAGATGAGAACAGACGAGCTGCTTGGAGCTCGCAGTGTTCCTTCAGGGACAGAACTCTAACAGCAGACTGTCTCCCAGACTCTCTCGTCTAAACTGCCTTCTGTCTCTAATTCGTAGAAGTGCCAAGTTCTAAGATCTCTGGTTTTCTCTCTAAACTGCCTGTACGCCTCCCATTCGTAGAAGTGTCATGGGAAGAGCGCCATCTCCTTGATGCTATAAAACCGTTTTTCATTCTGGTCTTAAAATCTTCAGCTTTCAGTGACGGCATGGACTTTGGTTTCTAGGTCATGACCTTCACCTGATCTATTTCCTACCTTTCCTTTAACGTTATATTTAAAAGCTCAACTTTAAACACATTCTATTGGCTAAGGGGCTCTCATAGACCTCTGTGGTGTAATCCTCACTTTTCTGTGCCCTAGAAATTGGTTCAATTTTATTTGCTTCCATGGATTCAGCTATTATTCTTTTTATGAGCATACTTGTCTCGTTCAGTCTTAAAAGGTGTCTGTCTTTGTCTTGAACTGAGTGATCTCTCACTCAAGCTAATCATGGAAAAGATGGAACCATCCATTTTGCTTTATTTATTTTTGGTGTTAAAATTGCAGTTTTATGAGTATAATCTGTTTTCTTGAACTTGTCAACAGGAATCAGCACGGTGTAATTGATTGACGCATGTAGCCAAATTATTGCCATGGCCTGCCTTTTGTTTACGGTGTTTTTCATATCAACCTTTTTAAAAAACCAGTTTGCAGTCTCTTGTAAAATCTCTTATGACCTCCCCAGCACATAAGTGTTAGTTGTCTCCCGACCCCTCTTGCGCACTGTCCACACTGCCATTAACATTAGCCCACTCACTGTGTTCGCCGAGTTACTCTGGTGCTTCAGAGCCACGCTTCTCAAGCTGGCCTGGGACTCAGCGGCGGTGCCAGGAGGTCTGCAGTGTTGAGTAAACATGGACAAGTTTCCTGGAGCTTCATATTGCTCACAAGTTTGGTAGAAAAAATTTAAAGCAAACATGCTACATTATGAAATAGGATACAAAATTCACATGAATTTTTAAGCTAAAACAGGAGGCTTCAGAGTCCCTTTCCTCTGCTTAAGGATACTCTCAGTGTCCTTATGAGGTGTGCTTGGGGTTGGCATCCTTGAGGCTCTATTGGGCTTTAGGTTATCCTACGGATCAGGCCCCAGATGCCTTCTTTCTGCTTCAAGGCCCTTTCTTGATATTCCTCTTTCTATTTATTTCTTCAGCCTTTTTCAGGAAACCTTGAACAATTACCTTAATTTACTCCTCTGCCTCCCTCGTGCTCCTTTGGCCTGGAATGCAGCCTGTGAAGCTGCTTTTGAATGAGAGGTGATGCTTTCTTCTCCTTGGGCTTGGCGCTCCTGTGACTTACTACTCCCAAACACATTTTCTTTTTGAAGGAACTTGAACACATTACATACATGCTCTCTGTTTTCTATATATCCCCCTACAGTTACGCACATGTGCACACACACATTTATCCTGTTTGTTTTTCTTTGTCATTTATTTTTGTGTGTGTTTTTTCCCTCATAGCACACACTGTGTGTAAGACGCTGCATAGGCACCTGCGAAGAGACTATTAAGAGAAATAAGACATGTAAAAGGGAAAAAGGAAAACAGGTTCAGTTTAAAAGAGGTTCAGAGGGGGAGAGATTATTTGGGCTGCTCAGAACAGAGTGAGCTTTTGGGTGCTCCGAGTGGAGTGAGTCTCCATGTGTTTACCTGTGTCCTTGGTGTCCTGGGAGATAAACCCCACGGCTCAGAGTCAGAGTGGTCCCCCGGAATATGTGTACACACACTTAACTGACAGTCTAGAGTGCAAATAGGAGTGTAATACCTTTCCTTTGGCGTGAGCACGATCTGGTTTTAGGACAGCAGTGTCTTGTGAATGAAGAGCGGAAACGGACTTTAGAAACCATGGAATTCAACCTTTATTCATGTAATTACAAAAGAAAAGGCAGACTGAGAAGTGGGTGACTCACCAAGGTCACGTGACTTGGTCCGCCCGACTCCCAGGCTCCAGCGCTGACCCTTGTAGGACAGGTGATGTTGCCGTGTGAGGATTTTACTCCTTGACTTAAAATCCAATTATGTATGATAATTGTTAGTTTAATATTTAACAACTGATCGTGAAAATGACTTCTTGAACACTTTTTCTATTTAGGAAGACCTTTGCTGTCATTTGAAAGATAAGGTGAAACAACTGGAGAGGAATCAAGAAGCAACCAAGTTAGAAAAGACCGAGATCATTAACAGATTGTCAAGAAGTCTGGAGGAGAGTCAGAAGCAGTGCGCCAACTTGTTGCACTCAGGTGGGTGTCCGGGTGCTCTGTTGTGTCCCCAGAAGGCTGGTATACTATGCAGAGAGAACACAGTAGGAGCCTTGAATCATAAACATCCAGAAGAGATAGCAAAGATCACTGGTGACAATTTTTTAAACATTGTTATTTTATATGTAAAGATGTTGTTCATATTTACTAGATAATTTGGAAAATACAGACAAGTATAAAGTAGAAAATAAAAGTAACCAATAGTTCTACTGCCCAGAGATAACTACGGTTAACATTTGAATGTATTTCCTTCAAGGGAAATGAAGGCACATGCGTAACAATTCCCTGCCTGTGAAAATACTCCAAAGCTGAATGTTCACAAATTCAGTAATAAAATACCTGTTATAAGGTAGATTCTATCTCTGAAAGATAAAAATGATAGGAAATCCTGTTATATTTTCCTTTTTAGAATTGATCTTTGATCATGTAGTTCTGTCACTTTGTGTAACTTTTAACTTTTTTCCCCCTCTCACAATGGAATAGCCACTTACCTGGTCAATTGAAGCCAGTGAGATATGGTTTTTGTCAGGCTTAAGATTTTTCCTATGGTCTCCATGGTATTAAGTTTGAGAATATACTTTCTGTCATTAGTTGCAACAGTACTTTTATTTCCTATTCATTTTTATAAAATGATATTAGAGCTTTTAAAAGGCAATAAAATTTTAATCAAATGTTTATACAAACTACCATACAGACAAGATGGCCTTGCTTGCTGGTGAGTAGCTCACACTGTGAAAATAGCTCAATGGCTGTTTATTAACTGATATATGAAAGTCACACTTTGGCATACTAAGTCAGTTCTGACTATTGGTACAATGCATGTAAGAGTGGTTATTCAAAAGAGCCAAAACCCTTGAGGGGGGAATGTGGTACACATGAGCAGAGCAAGGATGGGCCAGGTACAGAAGGTCACCTGGGCAGAAAGCCCTGGGTGCCTAGCAACAGGCAAAGCTAGGAAGACAAGGACCTTGCCTCAGGGTAACCTTTCCTCCCCCAGCCTGTGGTTTAGACTCCCTGACCTTTCATATCGCTGGTCATGCAGTTGGGATCCTTTCCCTGACCTTTCCTCCCCTGGCATGTCTCTAGTCATGCGATAGAGCCCCCTTGGAGGAGGAACGAAGGGCCAAAGAGTGGCCTCTTGCAACCCCCATACTGGCTGTTGCATGACCACTCCCTTAACCATTAACCCCTAGAGATAATATCTAGGCCTCAGTTGGGTTTCAGCTCCAGGCCCAGAAAAAAGCAACAAAACCAGAAAAGTGAAGCCATGGCTGACATCAGGACCAGCTGCATTGGATAATGACCCCCTGCCCTGGTGCCAGTCAGTGGAGACCATGACCTTGAAAGCACACACTTGGAAAAGCTGATGAATATGCTATTGAGATCATCCCTGAGAGCTCCTCTAAAATCCCCACCTTTAAAACCCTCAAGACAGAGAACCTAAGTTTCTTAGAGCACGCCCTCTGGAATCTTTTTTTTTTTTTTTTAAGTGTACTTTGCTTTCTATCTCCTAAGTTTCAAGGGCCCTTCTTTTGCCTCGGTGCCTTGTTTCCTGAGCCTAGTTCTTGTGCAGCTCATATCTTCTACCTTTGTGACTTTCTAAATAAGCTTCCTCTTACCAAAAAAACCAAAAAGTTAGGTTGCAGGTTCAGTCCCTGGCCCCAGTCGGGGGGTGTGCAGGGGCAGTTGATCATGTTTCTCTCTTACATCGACGTTTCTCTCTCTCTCACTCTCCCTTCCCCTCTCTTAGAAAAAAAGTCAAAAGTGCTAACATCAAAGACTAAATATGTGTGTGTATGTTTTGGTGGGGGCAAAATTTGAAGGGTGTTCTACTTAGGTCTCCCCTCCCTGTTTAGTTTTGTGTTATTTTGTTTCCAATGTTATAACTTATGAGCCCTTTTCCTTGCCATTAAAGGCTTTGAAAGTATGATTTTCTTTAGTTGCATAATATGCCATCATTACTTTGCTTAAACGTTTCCCAGATGCTCATTTTCTTTTGAGGAAACCAATAAAGTTCCTTGTAAACGGAAACCTACCTCCTACCAAAAAAAAAAAAGAAAAAAACAAAAGAAAAAATTTAAATGGGACCCTCCCTTGGTACATTTAAAACACTAGGTTACCGAGTTTCAGACACAGTCCTAATAGGCTTCTTGCACTTGTGGAGGTCAGGACTGTGGAAATGAAAGCATTTAGAAAGAAGCTGAAGGCAACGTGATGTAGTTTTCTTATTAGAGGGTAGAAATGGGTTCCAGAGAATTTTTCCTCTGGCTTTCTATGAGTTGGAATGTGACACTCCTGTTAAAGGACTTTGGAGTGTTTAGGTCTGGAGACACGATTCGGTTCATAGTAAGGTCACAGTGGCCCATGTCTCCAACTTCCCAAGGACATATGCGGAGCCCTGTTGAGTCTTGGAAATGTGTGGACCAGACCTGTGCCTTCTGGGTCCACTGGCTATTCCTTCGTGCTCCTGAAAAGGTAATAAAAAGGTAATAAAGCAGAATCCCACCTTCTGTAGCCTCTGTGGATTCATGTCTTCTGTATGCCATAGGTGCCCTGGCCACTTACATTTGGTGTGTTCCGTGACTCTTCCCCCTATAGGCTCAGTGCAGGAGGTGGCTCAGCTGCGGCTCCAGCTCCAGCAGGCGCAGAAGGCACATGCTATGAGTGAAAGCATGAACAAGGCTCTGCAGGTGAGTGTTGCCCCTTGGGAGAGACTCCGGGTAACTGAATTACATCACCTTTCTGCACCTTGGGTTTCTCTACATAAAAAAAGGTGGTTGGGCCATCTCCAGAGCAGCCCACGAGAGTCAGTCACAATCTCACCCACACCGTTGGGTAGTCAAGCCCGGGCTACCTACGGGTGTGTCCCAGAGGTGAGTTATCCACAGGTGTGGGAATCCGACGGTGTGGCTGCAATTCTGTCACCTCCTGCAGCGCTCTGTATGTTTTCCGCTGGAGGAAGAGGGAGCTGCCAGAGGGAGATGCTGGAGGGAGAGGTCCAGTGTTGCCTCCACTGGAAAGAGGGATTTTGCCTTTTCACCACTGGCAGGCTATCAAGTACAGCACGTTGTTGGTAAATGAGTCTACTCCGTCTTCTACTCTGTGAGCCAAAAAGTGCTGCCCCCAGTTTCTCAGCTCAAGGGACACTCCTTGTGGAGGACACACGGTGAGGAGGGAGCGAGAGAAGCTGCTTGCCTTTGCTTTTCTCATTCGCCTTTCATGCGTGCATTCAGTTTACTGGGAAGCCTGAGCCGTGCTGGCCTTTACGAAGCTACGTGTAATGTGTGCCAAAATGTGTTTGAAGAAGCGTTTCTGCCTTGTCTTGACCATTAAAATGAATTTGAAGCATCGATGGAATGGCTGGTTCCTTCTTATAGGAAAATAATGAAAATAACTTTTGATAATTTTGTGTCGTAGGAAGAATTGACAGAACTAAAAGATGAAATTTCTCTCTATGAATCTGCCGCAAAACTGGGAGTACTTCCCAGTGACTCAGCAGGAGAACCAAACACAGAACTCACCGAATCGTACATGGATCTGGGTATTCCAAAGGTCAACTGGAAAAAATCCGAAGTTAAGAGGTATCGAGAAAATAGTTCGCTGTGGAAGAGTCCACGTTAGTAATTCCGATGATGTTTGGTAAACAGGTGGCATCAGGCACGAGACGAGGAGCTGACGGGGGTCCTTGAACGTGGGGCAGTACATTTTAGTAATATCCTGTGAAGTGTAAATGTCTGAGATCAAAACGAACAGAAACCTCAAGAATTGATATTTGTACTGTCTTCAGCCCCAATGGGCACATCAATTTCATTAAGAAAAAAAAGATTAATCTAGCTAAAATGCACAGGGTAAATTCTACAACCGAGATTATGTACCTGTTTTACTACTAAGGCGAAGCGTATTATTTTTGTTATGTAACACTGTGTTGAAAGCAGGTGCCTGGTATCAGTGGCATACGAGAAAATAAGCATTAATTTTCCCTAGGAATCTTACTGTGGTCTTACTTTTAAAATAGGAATTTTTGTCTTTTATACCACTGCTTAACACAGCTATTTTAGCAATCTTCTGGAAGGGATTGTTTTATGGTCCCTCCCAGGGAGGAAGTGGTGCTGTCAGGGGAGGGAGTGTATTTAGGAACCATTAAGCACTTAAAAGATGAATGAGGGAGAAGATGTACCTTTTTGAAGCACTTGCTCCCTGGAAGGTGTGATGCAAGGCTCTGGGAGTTGTATACAAAAGATGAGACAGAAATACTCCCTTCCCACAGGGAGTTTACCTTTTGTCTGGTGGAGAGAGGGAGATGTACTTGAAAGCAGCTAACTGCTCAGTGTAATGCCTGGTGGATGAAGGGGTAGTTATTCCCTTTACTCGTCTGGGATAAGATGAGAGATGGCTGTTTGGAAGGGATTACATTCTGGCTGAGGAAAGCCTTTCTTGAATGCATTTGGCCCACCCTAGGGTTTCTAGTTCAAGACTGTTACTGTCATTCTTTCATTCATTTATTTATTTATTTATTTATTTATTTATTTATTTATTTATTTATTTATTATTTATTTATTTTTTATTATTTTTTAATTTTTAATTTTTTAAAATTTTTGTTCAAAATATTACAGATGTCCCTTTTTCTCCCCAGTGACCCNTTCCCACTACCTGTGTGTTTCAGGCATCATGCAGCTAAATACAAGTATATGAGTCTCCGGAAGGGTTTGCTCTTCAACAGGTTTTAGAACTTATGTATTTTAGTACTGGATTCTGTTTTCAGAACTGTAGGGTGAAATTTGGTAAATCAAAAACTCAAGTGATCTGGAAATAATGTGAAACAAGATATTATTTTAGTTTAGTAAGGCTCCATTTGTCTGGAGGTCGGTCTTGAGCGACTGCCACCTCTGAAGACAGCAGCTACAATCCAGAGGAAAGGAAAGAAGGAAATTGCAGAGCTAAGTTGTGTGGTGTATTTCGTAGGCGTCACCTTCAGGCTCTTATCCCAGGGCCATACTGACTTAGATTTGTTTGCACCCCATGAGTTATCTGATTTCCTAACCCATGGAAGAGTAGCTGGGGCTGGGGGTTGGGAGAGGCATTGCCATGGTTTAGCCAGACAGCTCAGCCTCAACAAGGAGGGGTCTATAGGAGCACAGCAGCTGGAGCTGCTGGTCGACGTCAGAATCCAGTCATGATCCCCAGTTGTCCAAGAAAGCTTTCAGCTTGGTTAGTTAATTAAAGTGCAAGAGGGTGTATGCATTATATCTTTTTAGATAGATTTACATAAAATTTTAGTTAAGGTATCATCTGGAAAATTCACTGCTGTGAATGCCTCATTTCCTGCTAATGCCAGATGATTCAGGTTTTGTTTTGAATCATAGTTTTGGCATTTATTAGTAGCTTTATGACCTTGGGCAAGTTTCTTGACTTTTCTGAGCCTGTTTTCTCATCAGGCTTTTTCTATTAAGTGGATGACAGCCTGCACCTTGGGTTTCAGTGAGGATTAAAACAGGTAATGAATATGAAGGGCCTTATGTAATGTGTCCCAGACCGTGCAGTACTTGATCAAAGGTAGTATTATTATTATTATTTAATAGTTGATTGGTTAAAATATACCATTGATCAGATCTTATATTAGTTCACGTCTTACTCAACATATACTTTCTAAAAGGTTCTTGATCTTCACCTCAACCTCGAGAAAAGCATCAGGTCCATTATCACATTATTAGAACTGGGAAAACTAGAGCTCCAAGAGGTAAGCTCTTCTGCCCTAGAAGGCAGACCATGATCAGCTGAGCCAGTACTCGAACCCAAAACTTGACTGTCCCGTAAACCTGTTGTTCCATGTTTACATGACAGTCAAACCTTTTGGCCTTAAACTTTATTCATTATGCCTTTTTTTTTTAAAGAGGATTAAAGATTTAGTTGTTGCCAGAAAAGATTTCTTTCCAGTATGCTATTGCTTTATCTTAATTTGTGCCATAATTAGCTTGGGAATTGGGTAAGTGGTAATAATAATAATTAATAATAATAATATAAATTATATAGATGTATCTTTTCAAGCAGACTGACTTCATCATGATGTCTACTAAAATGTATTCTACTTTTGCCTTTTCTATTTAATTAGTACTCATAGTCCTCGTAGCCGAAATCCTTTAGTAACTGAAAGCCCATCCCCATAGATACTAAACCTGAGACGTCACGTCGCTTTCTAGTACCAGGGGTGCCAGCCCTGTAGAGCTGGGGAAGAGAAGAGTAAGACAATAGGTAGTCACCGAGGCGCAGGAGAAGAAATTCAGTGACACACAGGATATGTGAAGAAGGGATTAGTTATAATAACCCCACCTACCAGCAGTTTAATAGATAAGAATTCAGTTTAGAGGAGAAAGTAAAAACATTTATTCTTAGGTCAAAGCGAGAGGAGATACAGGAGAGAAGAGACTTACACCTTCTCTCCACTGGACTGCGATTCCTAGAACAAGAGGAAGCGACAGCTTTTCCAGTGTCGAGAGTTTCAGTCCTTTGTTGACTTGAGCTGCTTTCCAATCCCTGACCCAATTATTAGCGGCTCAACGCTTTTATTCCCAACCACTACCTCCCTCGAGCTACCGCCTAGTAAGCTTGAAGGGTTTAGCCCCGGTGTCCTGTTTCACATTCGTGGAATTTGAGTCACTAAATCTGCATGCGGCGTGCAGACAGCTTCCCCTCTCCCGTATTATAGTTGGCCACGAAGCTCAAATAATAAACATTTAACAAGTGGAATGCCTTTTCCCTTTGGTCTTCTCAGCAGGCTTCACAAGGGACTACAGTTTATTTGGATTCAGGGGAACCAACTTCCACAGGGCTCAGAAGAGAGCCTTATGCAGGACTGGTCACCCCCGCTGACTTTTTCCCTTTCGGGAAAGAAGAGAAAATTATTTTAGCAAGTGCTTTCTCTGCCCTCTGACTTGGCTCCCTCTAGGAGTACATGATGTGCTATTTCAGCGGTCAGCATTCAGTAAGAAAAGAAATGAGGGATGCATAATTTGTTAACTGAGCAAAATCAGTGCTCTGCTTCAAGTTAGTTCACCATGTCTTACGGCATAGCCACATGCATTGTAAAATGTTTTATATTTCTTATATAAATATATTTCTATTTCTTATGTTTATATATTCTATTTCTATATAAATAGAAGTGGTTTAAATAAGTGAGATCTATACAGAATATTTACACTATATATATTACATATACAAAAGTGTATATCAATAAATATGTAGCAGATTGGAAGGCACTCCTTTCATAATTTTAAAACTATCTAATATGTTCTCCATTCTCTCTGTCTCTCTGTGTATATATGTGTATGCGTACACATAGTATATATATAATGTTTCCTTTGGAATAATCTGAAACTGAAAATAGTAAAAATTATAACTCAGTACTATTTATTTCTTATTTAAGAAATAAACATTAGTTCTTTAGAACAGTTTTAGATTTACAAAAAAAAATTATATATATATAGTACCAAGAGTTTCCGTATAATCTGCACCCATTTGCCCTATTAACACCCTACATCAGCACAGTACTGTTACAATTAATGAACTAATATTAATACAGTATCATTAACTAATGTATCCATAGTTGATTTAGGTGTTCCTAGTTTTACTTGATGTCTTTTTTCTGTTCCAGGATCACATCCGGATACCATATTATATTTAGGAATCATATTTTCTTAGTTTCCTCCTGAAATTCCTTGTTTTTGATGACCCTGACAGTTTTGAGAAATACTAGTCAGCTATTTTGTAGGAAGCCCCTCCATTGGAATTTGATGTTTATCTCACAATTATGTTTTCCTCATGGGTTTTGTGGAGGAAGACCACAGTGATGAGGTTCCATTTTCATAACACCATATTAAGGGTGTATACTATCAATACTTCTCTTTTTTAAAAGTAACTTTCTCCTTTATTATGGAAAAAATAGAAAATACAGATTAAGAAAACAAGAAAATTAAAAGCACCCATAATCTTACTTCACTTCCCATGAAGAAAACTATTAACATTTTGCTATATGATTTCTTTTTTAAAAATATATTTTTGTTGATTTTAGAAAGAGAGAGGAAGGAAGAGAGAGAGAAACATCGATGTGAGAGAGAAACATCAATCCGTTGCCTCCTGACCGAACCCCGATCAGGGATGTGAACCCACAACCTGGGCATGTGCGCTAACCAAGAATCGAACTGGAGATCTTTTGGTGCATGGGACAATGCTCAGCCAACTGAGCCACACCGTCCAGGGCACATTTTGGTATATAATTTCCACATGATCTGTTTTGATGTTTCTAGGAGATAAAATAATACAGAATATACTGTTTTATAATGTGCCTTAATATATTCTGAAATCTTTAGATATCAGTAAATATTGTTATATATATTTACTAATGGGTATGTGGATGAATTTAACATACTTTAGTTAGTAACATACTGTTTAAATTTTTAAAAATTATAAATACTACAGTATTATTATTACAAGCATCCTTGTAGCAAAGCTTTATTCACATCTTTGATTATTTCTGTAAGATGCATGAATATTCTTGCTCAAGGGTACTGCACATTATGTGAGGCGT